TATATATATATATATATATATATATATATATATATATAAATATTTTTTTTTAATATTACTCCTACTACATATATTGCAAGGTATTACCTCCTGGTGGTGGAGGATCTGTATTATCGTTTTCTTGTTGTACTTTTGCTATGTTATTCTGTCTAACAAGTTCTAATACTGGACCATAACAATCTTTTGCTTTTGTGGACTTCTTTATTTTTTGCCTAAAAATGAATAATAATTTTGTGTAAACTTGAAGAAAGATTATAAGAATGTTAGAAGTATAAAAATTAAGTGACTTGTGACCAACTGTAATTATAAAAAAACTTACAAATATGGATCCACTGGTGGTAAAGTTCCTTGATTTAATAAGAACATGTCATGAGTTCTTTTTAAAGAACGAAATACCAATGTGTGTACTGAATGTCTTTGAACATCCTGAAATAAGTTCATGGAATGTATACAAAATCAGTAGAAATAGTAGTTTAAAAAAAAATAATTTAAATATACTCACCATATCTTTAATGACTAAGGAAATTGAGTTAAGATTAACTGGGAATAATACCAACAACTTTTAGACAGAAACGGTAAATATACACTGTCAAGAAGAAGCTTGAGAACGACCACGCCGGTGTTTTGCTTCATGCCGCTTTGCGCGATTGTTTCATACGCCATCTGTGCCCATTTTGAAGCTAGAACTGGTAACACGAAGAGAAATTATGAAAAACGTGAATACTATCGATTACCGATTGAGTAGAATGTACATATTGGCTACATAGGGTGCTTTCCAGTTGCAATATCCCTATACACTTTCATGCACACGGCGACACAAATTGCATTCCAATCTTATGGTTCCTGCACACAGAACGCGGTAACATTTGCCGCGCGGTGGAAGTCGCGTAACAGCCAATCAATATGCTGTTTTCCGTAATAACCTTTTAGTTCTTATGGAAAAACAATATATTGATTGGCTGTTGATGGACTTCCGCCGCGTGGCAAGCATTACCGCATCCTGTGTGCAGGAGCCATTAGAGCATATTAGGCTGCGTTCAGATTCCCCACCCGGGTGTATTCTATTACTAGAAGTGCTATAGTATATGTCACATATACTATAGTGTTTCTAGTAATAGAGTGCACCCGGATGAGGAATCTGAACGCACCCTTAGAGATACCAAATTCTGAATCGATTCGATTCTTTCCCCAAAAATAGGCTTATTCGTGTTGTTTGCATTTTTCATATTTAAAATTAGACAGAAGTATATTGGAATGTTTCAAAGAAACAAAAACGAGACAACCAACTCGATTGTTTCTTCTAAGCGTTTGATTAGGTGTCCATCTTTTTTTAAAAGCAAAAAGTATGAAACATGCAAGCAACACGAGCAACACGAGCAACCCTTCTTCCCTAAATTTGTTAGGGAAAGAATTGAATCGATTAAGAATCGGGTATCTCTAGAGCATATATATATGGAAGGGGAATGCTGGCACGAAAGTGTATCCAAGATGTGTGCGAGAGAGAAAGCTATAGTTCCTATTCGTCCTCTGTGCGTATGCATTGAAGTTGACAGGTTAGGTTAGGTTAGAGTTGACAGATGTTATTTTTTTCTCATAGAGCTCTGAGAATTTTTTCAGAATTTTATATTAATTTTCTAGTACTTCAAGAAAATATAAGAAAACGCAAAAAAATGCAGTACTAAAAAGTTGATATAAAATTCTGAAAAAATTCTCCGAGCTCTATGAGAAGAAAATAAACAATTTTTATCTCTTGCTATTTTTCGGTAAAGTTGATAGAATTCAAATAAAAAAAATATTGAAACCAATAATTTTGTAGTCCAGCACAACCTTAGAGCATATATATATGGAGGGGGAAAAGCAAATTGACTAATCACAGTCATTGATTCTTCTTACGGTTCAAGAATCAACGACTATGATTGGTCAATTTGCTTACTGCTTACGTCTTATGGCTCCTGCACACAGGACACGGTAATGCTTGCCGCGCGGCGGAAGTTCGCGCGACAGCCAATCAATATGCTGCTTTCCGTAATAACCTTCTAGCTCTTACGGAAAAACAACATATTGATTGGCTGTCGCGAACTTCCGCCGCGCGGCAAGCATTACCGCGTGCAAGAGCCATAACTCTACTCGATTTATCGGACAGCATTGAGTTGTCATAAATCATGAAAATACTAGATGTTTGTGTCTATCATATTTCTCGGTTCTAGTGAAACTAACTCGTACTTACTCTAACTCGAATTATCGTAAACAGCCTACGTCAAGTATTTTACTTGCCAACCCTGATTCTCACGGAGGAAGAGTATTGAAAATTTTACAATTGAACGCTCAAGTGCGTGCTTGTCAGTGCCGGTGCATTAATATCGTCCGCCGTTAGATTTGATTGTCTAATCTTTGTTTTCTATATTTATATTGTAAGGATTATAATTGTATATAAAAAATTGACATCAAATTTTATTGATTTTTCGTTTAAATAAATAATATAAAACTATGATATATACAAATAAACATTTTTAACTTATTTTAAGGATTAGATTAATAATTAAATTATCAAATTTTTCAAGAAAGATATATATTTACAATTCACTATATTTTAGTCAAACTATGATATTTATCATAATTATGTATTTTTTATCAGCTGACATGTGTAATGGTTACATTTTCATGTGAGTGTAACATTTGTTTTGTATAGATTTACAGAGATGCCAGACATAAAAGTTACACCACTTGGTGCTGGACAAGATGTTGGACGTAGTTGCATTCTTGTCTCAATGGGTGGTAAAAATATCATGCTGGATTGTGGAATGCATATGGGATTTAATGACGAGAGACGTTTCCCAGACTTTTCATATGTAGTATCAGAAGGACCAGCAACCAATTATATTGACTGCGTCATTATCTCTCACTTTCATCTAGATCATTGCGGCGCTCTACCATACTTTACAGAAATGGTAACATGTGTGACAAACATAAATTATCATTTTATAAACAGTTCTTTATTTCTAAAAGTTATATATTTTTCTGTAGGTAGGCTATACTGGACCAATTTACATGACACACCCAACCAAAGCTATTGCGCCAATTTTGCTCGAGGACATGAGAAAAGTTGCAGTGGAACGTAAAGGCGAGAGCAATTTCTTTACATCACAGATGATTAAGGATTGCATGAAAAAAGTTGTCGCAGTCACGCTTCATCAGTCAGTCATGGTCGATCCAGAATTGGAAATAAAAGCATATTATGCAGGGCATGTACTTGGAGCAGCTATGTTTTGGGTTCGTGTCGGGTCACAATCTATTGTGTACACGGGAGACTATAATATGACGCCAGATCGACATTTAGGTGCTGCATGGATAGACAAATGCAGACCTGACTTACTGATATCAGAGTCCACATATGCAACTACAATCAGAGACTCTAAAAGATGTAGGGAAAGAGACTTTCTCAAAAAAGTATGTTATTCACGATTTATATCTATAGTTAACATCAATAATAATCAGTAAGTTTAATAGCTAATTTCCTTCCGAACAGTCTCGAGCAAATACATTTGTTTTAGGTTCACGAGTGTATTGACCGCGGTGGAAAAGTCTTGATCCCCGTGTTCGCTCTCGGTCGTGCCCAGGAATTATGCATACTCCTGGAAACGTATTGGGAAAGAATGAATTTGAAAGTACCCGTTTACTTTGCGCTCGGTCTGACTGAGAAGGCGAATAATTATTATAAAATGTTTATTACCTGGACTAATCAAAAGATTAAGAAAACGTTCGTACAACGAAATATGTTCGACTTTAAGCATATAAAGCCGTTTGATAAAGCGTACATCGATAATCCGGGTGCGATGGTAGTGTTTGCCACACCGGGAATGTTACACGCTGGTTTGTCCCTTCAGATCTTCAAAAAATGGGCACCCAACGAAGCCAACATGGTTATCATGCCAGGTTTTTGCGTGCAAGGTACTGTGGGACACAAAGTCTTGAATGGCACGCGAAGAATAGAATTCGAAAACCGTCAGATTGTGGAGGTGAAGATGGCCGTAGAGTACATGTCTTTCTCTGCTCACGCTGACGCGAAGGGAATAATGCAACTGATACAGTACTGCGAACCGAAGAACATTATATTGGTGCACGGGGAGTTCGCTAAAATGGAATACTTAAAGGAGAAGATTAAGCAAGAATTCGGTACTAACTGTTACAATCCTGCGAACGGTGAGACTTGCGTTATCACGACGACATCTAAAGTGCCGGTAGATGCTTCTCTAGCGTTGCTCAAAACCGAGGCGAAAAGATATTCAGCTCTACCGCCAGATCCGAAGAAACGGAGGCTACTTCACAGTGTTTTAATGTTAAGAGAAGATGGTGTATGTCTGGTAGATGCAGATGAGGTAATTTTTAATATATATAACTCCCTGTGTGTATATTAAGTAAATCGATTGTCGTTTTCATCAGGTTGCGAAAGCCGCTGGTATCACAAAACACGTAGTGCGATTCACATCTACTGTGCAAGTGAGGGATCCTGGTCCAGCGCATGCTACCACTTTGAAACTATTGCAGCCGTTAAAAGAAAGATTGTCAGGTTGGACGGTCCAACTAACAGATGGCTCAATATCAGTTGAGTCAGTTTTAGTGAAGGTAGAAGGAGACGAAGACGATCAGAAGAGTGTCTACGTTTCGTGGACTAATCAAGATGAGGATCTAGGTAGCTATATCCTCGGGTTTCTGCAAACAATGTTAAATTAGAATTAGTAATGCGATGAATCATTATCAAGCGTGAGAGATACTTTTCTAATCTGTGATACTGTAAGAATGTACGAACAATTATAATTTACTTTGCTATAAAAATACTGCGACTATATATAAAACAAAAATATATTTTCAAGTAAAGCAGTGTCGTAAATACTGCTAAATGACGATACAATGTTATTTTCTATGTCTCAAAATGTTTGTACATACTCGAGTAAAATAAGACGAAAAAATACAGAATTTTGAAATAAAATATCATAGCAAATTCACCTGTCACTTTTTCTCAAGCGAGAAAATTTAATTGTAAATATGTTATCTATTTTGAAAATTCGCATAAAAACATCCTACGTTTTTACATATGTAACTATAATATACAATAATTACTATATATTCTATAGGATAAAAACTTGCACACTCTTTAGTAGCTATCTATAACGTATCCTGTGAACGTTTCAAAGATTTTATTAAAAGTAGAATGCAAAATGCAAAAAAATAGTACTATCTTGTTAATGCTCTAATATTGATCTGAAAGTACAAATTTCAGACTAAATTGTTTAAAACTAGGTTACTTATATAAGTCAAAACATATGTGTTTTTGTACATTATTTATAGTAATATGTGTATATACAACCATTAATAAAAATTAACATTTATTTAAGAATGTTTACCACATGTATTATTAATGGACAAATGAAATGGTGAGTAATTTTTCAAAAATTGTACAACTAGTATCAAGTAAAACAGTAAATTTTTATTATATTTAACTGAATATGCGTTCTAGGTACAAAATGGTAAATAAGTACGGGGTGTACTAAACACTTACATGCTTCTTACAAAAATCAGTATTTCAGTACGCAACCAATCAATTATATAGAATGAACAAAGAACTCTTTCAAATATACAATTAATTTCCAACAGTGTTTTTCTGAACGGTCATGCTGTAATTGTTAAAAAAATCATCTGAGCATTTCTAATATCACTACTTTATAACAATAATATAGAATACTTCACTTTGTTCATTTACATAAACAGAGTATGACTAAATATAAACATAATAGTTGCAAGCATTGTTTGTTTTTTAAATGCCCTTAAAATCGTTCATTCATTTGAACGCTGAACGTTCTAAAACTAGACAAAATGTACTCGTAAATAATTTTTATAATGTGCATTTATAAAAATGCATACTCGTTATTCACGAACACACTTTTCCAATATTAAAACGTTCATAAATCTGATGATAAAGGCCTATGTAAACTATGAAAATTCGTCATGTACGCATTACTTTTTAAATTCAGTATAATCGTTAATTTTTGTTAACTTTTATACATAAAACTGGCCTTCAACTTCAACACTCTAGTAAACGTTAATTATTGCACATAAATCGAACAACAAACTTGAACTTTTATATAATGGAACTAATAGTATGATCACTTAAAAAATCTGATGTACCAAGTTCACTATTGATAACAAAATGTAGTATATATTTTATGTATGATATTGCATGTGCACGCGCGAATATGTATTCATGTACTAATTCTGCTCCGCGTACCTTTCTTTAATTATAAAAGGAAAATAAACAGGAAACAAAAATATTAATTAAAATATGAAGTAAAAAAACAATCAAAGTTATGAAGTAATGCAGAACATTGAGTCATGGAATACATTATGCGTAGTAAACGTCATAATTATAAATTATATTCCAATTACAAGGATATCCGTGAGTATCATTCTTATGCATTGATTTAACAGAAATAAAATTTAATATATAAACAATTAATGTCAGTGATTTATAATGCACGATTTTTTGATAACTCTTATAATCGTACAGCGTACAGTTATATATAATTATACCTCTATAAATTATATATATATATATATATTTATATATATATATAACCATCACATACGCCAGTATTTCAAGATATCCATTTAGTCACTACGAGTTTAATTATTTATATTTTCTCCACATAATAAAATATGGTATTTTTTTTTTACAATAAACATTATTCATAGTATTTTCACTTTGTATTAGTCTTTTGAATAGCAAGGTATGCCATTTTATATCTATAGAGCAGTGCTGCATTTGTGCTGCAATTTCATACTTGCACTTCCCATTTTTTTTTCTTTCTTTTTTTAGCCGCCAGTACTCGTATTGCATTAGCGCAGCTTATTTTTCGAAGTTATTTTTTTCCTGAACCACCCTGAAAAAATACAGTAACAGAATGAATATAGTAGATCAAAAACCATACTGGATAAATATATAAAATAATGTTCTATACTTATTCTTCCATTATGTACAATAGATAAATAAACTAATGATTGCAACAAAATGATGCATATTAGTTGAGCCTTGCAAATTTTAAACATCTGTCCAATAAATCAGGAAGAATAATTAGAAGACTGTGGAAGATTACGCACAACAATGTTTATTGGTTAATAAATGAATATATTATTTATTAGTAAGTTACTTTTTTCATTAATGAAAAGTGTTCTTTGCGTTATCTTTCACATTAAAATCTAATATTCAATAGTTTAAAAAAGCGTCTGTAAGCCATGCAGAAAGCAAGTACACACGAAAAATTTCATTAAATTATGTTTAGAAGCAACGTACATATGATACTTAATGTGTATTATGTAAGAAAATAATAAAGACAATAATAAATAAAAAAAGCAAAGCAAAAAATAATAATTATCGGATATTGAACTTATAATACCTAGGTTATTGCACTTAATAATATATATGGTATGTACATATAGTTATCGTTATATTTGGTTAGTATTATTAAAAATTCCGCTTTATTATTATTTATATTGTAAGCAGTGTATTAATATAATGCAAAATGTTTAAAGGCAATATAAGATAATTACGAAAGTGTATATTAAGCAAATGTATATTGATCATAGCTTCCCTAAAGCTATTTAGTTCATTGTGTTAATATCCTTAAAATAAATAAAATTTAGAAAGGAAAAATAATGGGAGATATGTGGAAGAAATAAAAATATATTGTATATTAATATGATTATTGTATAAAAGTATGATCATTTTGATACTGTTACAATAACTAATTAGTTCGGTCAATATAACCGTTCCATTTGCAGTGTACCCTTTACCCCAGTGTTTGTGCTGACAAAAAATTTCATTATATAACTAGGTGTACATTTTTTAGTATCTGATCCGTTTTGTTAATATATCTGTCTCCGTTTCTAAATTTACATTTATATTTTATTATTTATACTAATCAGTATAGTGTTATGATTTTTGTACTTTTCTGCAAAGAAGCATAGCAAAATATATAAGCTATTCATTTTGTTCTTAATATATATACACAAACTATGCGAATTACCAATTTAACAGCCAGTTTCGTAAGTTGTAAATCATAATTGACAAGAATTAAAGATAAGAATAGAAATCATTTTTTTTCTAGTCGTATGTGCTGAGAATACACAAGATGCAGAACATTCATTATATATCATAGTCACAAAATAAAATATAAAGCCAATAATAGGCACTGTGCAACGTGTTATTGGAACATATATGAATATAAGTGAAGCCATATAAACTTACATAGACGAGACATTAATAATATTAAATAATTCATACAATATTTCAAGAAAAGATTATAGGTACAGAGTAATTTTATATACATATATTTACACGATTTTATATATTGCTTACATTATAAATACGGTAAAACATATGGGAATTGATTAAATATTAAGCTTGATATTTTATAATTGACTGAACATGTATTAATGAATTTTTATATTAACGTTAACACACCAAAGCTTATTCAAGATATATGTTCCAAATAATAGACAGACTAACAGTACTATCAATATGGCTCACATTTACTATGCGACGTATTAAAATTATATATATATATTTCCTTGTAATATTAATTACATCATATATTGGTTCTGTTGTTCTTCTTTTAATAAAAAAATATGCAATTTTAAATGTACTCTGATTTAACATTTTCACTTTTACACTACCAGTATTTAATATACATTTAGTCTTTATATTAAAACAATTGTAATTAATGGAGTTGATAATAATGTACGTTATTGGTTTTCAAACTATTGAAAACATTTTTTGTGCTATACTTTGTGGAGTAAATAAAATAATAATATGCAAATACGAAAATTGAAGATAGTGCATTTATGAATACGAATGTAAAAGTTTAATGCTTAACAACAGAACAATGTGTGCGATGAGAAAACAATATTCGTAAAACAACTTATGGTAAGACCCGACATGAATGGCTAGCGGTAATCTACTATTAAATTTTTCGAAAGGCTAGGAGGAAACATTTCAGTATCTCATCTTTAGATTTGCATACCTGCGAATCTGCGCCGTTTTGCCATGGTTTTCTTAGTGGACTGTCGAAACAATCAAAACAGTTAAATTGTTATTGATCACAGAGCAAGCATTTGAACAACAAGGCTATTTTTTCTTATGAATCGTACGACTGCGGAAACCTGTGGTCGTTGAGCATCAATAATATTATATGTTATTAAATCTTATAACAAACACTGGGACAAAGAGACTGTTAAAATTAAACTTTCCAATTTGGGTTACTAGTAGATTAGGGAAGATACGAATGTGGCCCATTGATGAAAAATTGATTTTTCAGATATTAGTCTCCTGACTTTTGTAAAAAGTCGTTGTAGTTACCTCACAAATTCAAATTGTGATTCCATTGTTTTAAACATAAAGAAAT